TTATTATTATTATTTCTTTTATATTATTATAAGTAGTAATATAGTTCAATCGAAATATGTTGATTGAAGTAATGTCTTATTTTAGAGATAAAACCAACACCCCTAGCTATTGTTTTAYTTAAGGTGGCTGACTACTTTTCTACATTCGATTTGAGCCCACGATGTGCGCGTGCTCAAAAACCGCTGAATAATTTTCATGATTTTATTGAAGAACCATACGCCTTTTAAACTTTAAGAGGGCAAAACCTTCAAATTTTGCAGGGGACTATATTTTTTGTTATTTTCCAGAATAACAGGTAGTATCCCATTATTTTTCAAAGYTTAATAAGTTCTGTTTATTATAACATTGTAAAACATCGTTCTGTTTGTTTTGTGCTCAATTTTTACGATAACTTGTGCACCGTAGAACCTGAACAAAAAATTTTTTTCCATTGTCTACAATAGTTTATTAAAACAACTTTTATCAGTATTTTATAAATGCAGTCTAAGTTACGTGTTCGGAGAAAATTACTCATGTTTCTTCCTTTTTTTTGTACAGAGCTTGATTTTCGCTATTTTTCTTCGAAAATCAATTGTACAAACGCATGTCATTCCGGAGTGATTATCTCACCCCATTTTTTCTTTGCATTTTCGAAATCAGCATTTAATTTCAAGTTAAAAAAGTTTCAATTTACAAACTTTTTTTATAGATTTGTTTGCAATACTGAGCCTAAAATGATAGTATAATTTTCTCTAAGATGCATGAAATGTACAATCATATAGAATATTACTTTAATTGTGCTACTCTACTGCACGATTTCTAGCTAATATTTGTACTAATTTTCTAGGGTGTGCCCACTTGCACTCGAAGCTGCAACTGGACTACTTAAACTAGGGATTACAGCTACTGAAGTCATCTCTCTAGTCACCAAGAATCAACAATCCACATCTGGGACATTAGCAAACTCTGATTGGTACAATTTTGGTGTCTTTCTTTTCACCTCCCCTTTTCTTACTTTCTTTTATCCTTTTCTTTATATTCGCCCCTCCCCGATATTAACCAGGACTAATTACTGATACTGCAAATGAAACGATGTATATATATATATATTTAAAAATGACCCAAACTTTATCAGGTACAGTRTATTCAGCTATTCCTTATATATCCATGTGTTATTTTTTAAAGGTTAACATCATGGATCAAAGCTCAAGCTCTTGAGGCAACAAGCAAGCATACCAGTATGTTTATGCACCCTAAAACTTTGCCATCAATAGAATTGGGATTGTTGAATCCTAGATTCTTAAGACCGTGACTGGTTCCAATTCAGGGATCCTGTTAACTAAAAACAATTATGTTGCAAAGACCCCAAAAAAATTGTTCTCAAAGATGTTAATGAATCTTAAGCCCCGTTTACACTAGCGATTTTTTTGCGATTTTGTCCATAATAAATAATGGTTAAGAATTTACTTGTAAAGGTTTTTTTCAGGATACCAAGCTTTTCCTAGACGAATGTCTCTTTTGAAGGATGAGACAAAAGATTTTATATTTCCGAAAATTGCCATAAAAATCCCAGCAAAAATCCCAGCAAAAATCCCAGCAAAAATCCCAGCAAAAATCCCAGCAAAAATCCCAGCAAAAATCCCAGCAAAAATCCCAGCAAAAATCGCAAGCGTAAACGGGGCTTTATGATGCAATGCAATTGGGTGCATAAGAACTCAAATAGTCAAAATGCTTGAGGCACAAATTGTACTGTGCATACACGTGGGAGCCATCTGTTATGGCAGGGCTGAAAAACAAGTGCGAATCTGCTAAAAACAATCGCTAAAAAACAAATATAAGACTTTGCATCTAACACGAAAATTGATCGAGGTTTTCAGGGGAAAGAAATCTTAGTACAAACATTAGAAATTGATTTACAGATACATATACACATTTTTTTCTAATTTTCAGGAAATGAGCTTAATTTCTGCACTTTTAGTTTAGCTAATTTTAGCTATTTTCAGTTCTTAGGATATCCAGGATCCAGTTCGTCTTTTTTGACTTCCCTCTGTTCTATGTAGCTTTAGCTTTAAATACCCGTAATAAGGAGCACTGATAGTTCGAGGGGCTAAAGTGCACACATTTGAGCACTTTTATATATCAGTACAAAGCAACCACTCCYTTCATTATCGAAGTAATATAATTGCCTTAGTTTACATTTTATGACCACTGATTCGTTTTTCAGCCCTGTCATCTTTTACTATTTATTATCATATAGTTAGGATAGTACGTGGGCGCTGAATGTTCGAAAACTGTGCTTTATTAGTGAACGGAGCGCGTGCTGGCGCCATCWGCGCGCGCGAAGTGCTGCTAGATCCTGTGACCGTCTTTTTTTTTGCGTAAATAAATCCAATACCGAATTGAAATTAGCAACTATATAACAAAACGAATAAAACAGCTTTTTCCGTGCTCCGTTCAGTAAAAAAGCAAGCAATCGCCTACGGCTGGGACTTCTTCTTACACTTCTTTTGTGCTTTACGCCGCTTCCTGCGTACTTTATTACTGAACGGAGCACGGAAAAAGCTGTTTTATTTGTTAATTAAAGAATCTTTTTAATGCTGTATTTGATTCCTTTCCTTTCAGAGGCAGCTCAATCTTTTAAAGCACTTGAACAACAGGTAAATTGCCTCGGGCAAAAAACGACAGTTTTAGAAGCAAACAAATCAAATAAAAGCAGAGTTTGTTAATTTTTACTGCACGTCGCGTTTACGGTAATCAGCTCAAAAATATTTAGCTAATATCTTGGGGAGTTTGCCTAATGGTCGTGGGTCGTGGGTACGAAGTCGTGGGTTCCATTTTTTTCCAAATTTCCAAATTTATCATTTCTTCACTATACTTCTAAAACGAGATTGTGTGACTTTCTTCCAGTAAATTCGCGAACTCGACTCGAAGTATTAACGTAAAGCTTATAGCTTTTTGCCTCTATTATTAGTTTATAGTTTTTTCTATAGGTTTAAATATCGACTCTACTATGCAAAGTGGTTCTCAGTAAGGTGGTTCTCAAAACTGCGCAAGCTCCCCGCGTTATAACTCAGGGTTTTTCCTTTTTTYGAAAAGGCAAACCAAGCTCTGAACCAGGATTAACCGGTAACGTCTATAAAATCCCCAAACTTTGCTGTCCTCAAAATTAGSTAGTCACGCAAATCTTGACCTCTTGGGTCACATATTTCTTGTTTGCCATGGGTAGTTGTTAAAAGCAAATATTTTGAGTTTTGGCTTGATAATAGAAAACGAAAGGAGCATCTTATCAGATATTTCCATAAACTTTACACCAACAATTAGAAGCAAAAATAGACTATGTGAAAAGCGATCGAATTAGAAGTGTGTTGAGAATGATTCGAAATTCAAAAACGTTTTTGTAGTGTCCACACAGCGTGAGCAATGCAGAGTAAAATATTTCAATCTATGRCATAGCTAGGCTCTTTCCAGTCGCACCCAATACGAAAAGATACTAGATCTCTCGTATACATTAAGACATRAAATTAAAATTTGGTTCCAATAAAACTGAATAAAAGGTTTGAGACTGGTGATGAAGATGAAGATGGAGACACGTGTTGGAATCTCCTAAACCGGCGATTATTCTTTCCATGTAGTTGGTGGACATGATTTTTAGAGAGCTGACTCTATTGGAATTTCTACTTTCCTTATAATTTAGGTATGGACCCGCAAAATCAAGAATAAAACATCGTTTTGATTATACTTACATCAAATCGGTTCTTCTCTAAGTTACTGAATATAACTTCTTTGACCTTCTTGGTATTTAAGCCCAACTGATACGCTGCCGCTGCATAAAAGCAGTCCCTATCAACCTTAGCCTCCTTTGCAGCCGTTCTTAGGGTCGTCACGCAACGTTTCCCTCCCCACAAACGTCTGCTTACTTGAGCCGAACATTCCTTTCTCATTGTTATCGATGCGACATCATGGGCCAATCAAAATTGGCCTATTGTCTTATCAAGAGCCAATCAAATCCTGCGTTAGAAGTTCGCGACAACTTGAAATGAATGCCGCGTGCTGTCAAAATTTGCTTTGGAATTATTTTGAAAGGCGACAACTAGCGACAAAGAAGATAAATCGAAGATGAGTGGCGATATTATTACGACGATGTTGTTTTTCGTTTCTCTGATGTTCAGAACGTYAAAACATAGTGACAGGGCTTGATAGATAAGCGATTTRCCATAACCAGTTGGTAGATTGGATGTATTTTACAAGAGAAGATGCGTGACATAACCGGGGTCAAGCTAGAAAATCGTCTCCTTGAAATAAAGCAGAACCAGAACCCCGCTCTTTCCTGAACATTTTGGTATATAATTCATAGGAATTTGTTANTCCAGGCCACCAATTTTGGTGTATTTTTATAACACTGTCACGCAAATCAGACACAGACTACCTTGCACAACCCACAATTACACCGAATTTATAGGACCAAAGCCACACGATCTTGTTTTGGAAGTATAGTGATAAATTTAAATTTATAAATGATAAATTTGGRAAAAAAATTGGAACCCACGACTTCGTACCCACGACCCACGACTTCATACCCACGACCCACGACTTCGTACCCACGACCCACGACTTCGTACCCACGACCCACGACCCACGACCATTAGGCACACTCTTTGATGGATGTATAGAGATTATCACATGTTAAGAACTTGATATCGTTTGGTCAAAACTAAAATATGTCGCAAGATCTTATTGGACAGTTTTACCGTGAAGTGATATCGTATCATTTCACTGATATGGTTTTTTATTCACGGCTTTATTTCACGGATATCGACCCACAATGTGTAATTTATCTTTTAGGTGTTACACGACAATGTGGAGGTATTATGTAGCACAGCTGAAAACTACTACCAAGCTGGAGATGTCAAGAATTCTAAGGCAGTATTCCAAAGGGTGAGAGGAGATAATTACTTATGCATAAATTCTAATAGGTGTTTGGATGGACAAGTGCCAATTTTGGCCAGGCATTGGATATTTTTACCYCTGGTGTAACTCTAACTAACATTTGATTGCATTACCACTTGCATAAAGAATCTTTAATTGATAGTTGTTATGAACGTAATATTTCTTTTTACAGTTCCGTCCAATGACCACAAATGATAGTTCCAAGCAATGCAAAACTTTAATAATAAATAATAATCAAGTAATTCATAAAGCGCCTTAATCTGTTAAGGTGCTGTTTACATTAAAAATAAAATAAAAATAAATAAATAAATGTTGAGAAATGCAAAAATCTTGTTAAAATGCGCTGTTTACATTAAAAATAAAATAATAATAAATAAATTGATTTAAAAAAAATGCAATTATCATGTGTCTTATAAACATAAATAAAAAAAAACGTCTACTGCGTCTTAAAAAGAAAAGTTTTGAGTTTCTTTTTAAAAATTTCCAAACTGCTCTCCATTCTTAAATCAAGAAGAAGTCTGTTCTACATCTTTGTAGCAACAACACAGAAAGATCCATGATGATCTCCATATTCCTTGGTATTGGAGTGAGGGGTGACCAGTAATTGCTGAGAGCTGGAACGCAGTGTTCGAGTTGGCCTGTACTCCATTAGAAGGTCGGACAAGTACGATGGAGCCAAATTGTTGAGRCCCTTAAAAGTGATAAGCAAAATCTTGAAAACGCATACGCTTTTCAACTGGCAGCCAGTGAARATCATGCAAGACTGACGTGCCGCCGTATTCTTCACACAGTGAAGTCGCTTGATAAGATGCTTTGGAAGACCTATCGCAATAATCCAATAGTGGTGATAATGGATGACGATTTCTAGCGAGCTCCTATCAAGAAAACAGCGAACACGCCAGATGTTCCTAAGATGTCAAAACGCAGTTTTACAGATGGAATTGATCTGATTTTTAAAGGAAAGAGTCTCATCAAAGATCACACCAATATTGCGACAAGAAGTAGATGGAAGTAAACTCTCATCGCCCACCATGAGGCTAGCGATGTCTGGATGTGTCGTGAGTGAAAGACCAGAAGTACAGATTTGTCGTCATTCAGTTTCAGGCAGTTGTTCCATACTCGAAAATCTGTAACACAGGCAATATAGATCACTGCCACAACGGTGTCAAAAGCAGCTGACAATTCAAATAGAATTAAAAAAACAACACGTCGGTTGTCCAAGGCCCGCCATCAGGATGTCGGATGTCGTTGTACCTTTAGGAATCCAGTCTCTGCACTGTGAAAGCGCCTGTGTGCAGACTGATAGACTTCATGCAGACCATTCTTGGGCAAATGATCATTCAACGGACAAGCAGCAGCTTTCTCGATGATCTTAGAAATAAAAGATAGATTGGAAATAGGTCTTTAATTCTGTATAGCATCTGGATCAAATGACGGTTYTTTCAGCAACGGTGTGACAATAGACTTCTTAAATGACAACGGAAAAGATGAACACAGGCTCTTGTTGCCAATCTTGGTTATTAAAGGTAAAAGCGTGGATCGTTTTCTTGAATGGACGTTTCGTCACCGGAATCTTCAACTTGACAATTCAAAATTCAATTTCAATTTATCTACGCTGTTTTTTTTTTTTTCAATTTTATATAATAGAATTAAAAGAATATATACAGCTTGAATAATAGCGGAGCTCTCGCGCGGGCCTAAGGCCCGCGCGAGCGGAGCACCATAGGTATAGAATATGGTAAACTATGCAACTCAGTTTTCGTGGTCATCGCATGGAAACCCTGTGTGTAACGCTAAAAGTGTAGCCCGCCAGGTGTACATCGCGTTTCTGATTGGTCGAGCTTTCAAATCACTCGTCACTTGGAAAATGACGACTTTTTTTGAGCTTTTTAACTATCATTTTTTTGTAAATATTGTAAAAACGAAAAAAAAAAATTTATTGAAGAAATCATGGAAAAAAAGAATTCGCCACAGTGTGAAGATAGAGGTTAGGACATTTTCTATTTTGTTTTATTTAGTGTAGATAACATAGSTACAACATTACCGGAAAACGAGCAACAAACTAGCATGACGAACGAGCGAAAAAAGTACTTGTTTTGTTCTAATGGTAGTTCATACATGATATAAAATAATCATTTGAAAAAGCACTTTTTGAATTCCACAGTTAAACGGCAAATCCAAGAGATTTTTGACAAAGTTTAAAGCTAAATAACATTCCTAAAATTACCGGCAAACGAGCAACGAACTAGAATGACAAACGTGCGAAAAAAGTGTACCTGTTTTGTTATTATGGTAAGAATACTTTCATTTTGAATTTCATTCAATAATTTTATATCTTTCAACAGATAATTTATCTAAATATTGAATGAGTTTTAAAATTACACCAAATATTCAACTGTTTATTGAGCTTTTCGACCTAGTACATGATTA